GAGGCTGGGCCTCAATAGGCCTTGTGCACACTCAGTATGACCTCTACAATTTTGAATGGAAGTCAAGTGCATGGCGCATCCCAATAAGCTTATTCGCGCGCCACTTCACGCATTTCTCAATCCGCCACAGTTTGGCATTTTTTCTCCCATGTCCACTTCCAGTCACAGGTGGCCAGTAAGGCCAGGGCGAGATCGAAGGTCGTAGCCCTCGTAGGACGGGAGACGTGCGTTTCTCCTCCTGGGGTCAGGTCACCACAGTTGCGCGATCATTGAAGCTTAAGGTTAAGTTTGGGTTTAGACTTAGGTTAAGGCTTATGCTTACACATTGGCTTATGCCTAAGCCTATGATTGGGCCTAGGCTTAGTCCTAAGCTTGCTCCGAGCGAATGAACGGCGTCTCAATTTTGGGTGACCTGACCCCGGGAGCACCCTCGCAGGACAGCGGTGACGCTTCCCAGCGTGGTTTGGCTACATGCCCACGATAGCTTTGAAAGTGTTCGACTTCGTGTGGCGTAAACTCAAAACCTGTAGCGAGAACGTCCGACTCGCCATCAAAGTGGGCGGAACCGATTTGTCCACAAGCTGTCGCTCTCTCCCACCATGGCGGCAGTGAAAATTTGTGCTGCGAAATACTACACTACAGTAGAGCGAATTGAACTGTTCCCTATCCACCCTCACTCCATTATTCTCCATTGTCGCTAGCTCATTTGTACTTGATTACTCAGACTTTTTCTCTTTCCATGTTTTGATTATTTTTCGGGGAAAAGGCTCCCAGGTCGCCATGGCCATTCAAGAAGAGATGTATACCACTAGATGTGCCTTTGAACGCTGATCTCAAATCTACCTTCCAAATCTGCTAAACGATTCTCTGAAGGAGTTATGAAGCAAAACAGCGCAACGGCAGTGGTCGGGATTTGCAGTCAAAACGTCGTAGGATCGGCCCCTGATCGCGTCTACTGTTTTGCCTTCTTCAGGAGTACAGCTAAAAGGCTTTAATAGCCTATTTAGCCTAATTCCTGAAGAACGCAAGACAGTAAACGCGATCAGGGGCCGATCCTACGACGTTTTGACTGCAAATCCCGACCACTGCCGTTGCGCTGTTTTGCTTCATAACTCCCTTCAGAGAATCGTTTAGCAGATTTGGAAGGTAGATTTGAGATCAGCGTTCAAAGGCACATCTAGCGGTATACATCTCTTCTTGAATGGCCATGGCGACCTGAAAGCCTTTCCTTAGTCTACAGTTCAATTATGGAGCGTTCATAGTTGGCGATTAGACGATTAGGCGAAAAATATACGTATAGATTAGGCGAGTAGGCGAGTAGGCGGTGAAAGCACCACATTAGTACGTATCGGACTTGTATGATCCCCTGAGGCGTTGTAGGAGCGAGATAGGCGAGTGAGGCGCATTAGGCCTGATCGCCTACTCGCCTACTCGCCTACTCGCTACTCGCCTAATCTATACGTATATTTTTCATTTAGACTAATCGCCTAATCGCCTAATCACCAACTATGAACGCTCCAGAAAGCCTTTTGTGATATGTTTTCAGATAGCGTGCCTGTTTTTTAGGACATTACACGAACACAAGTGAGGGAAATGCTTGCAACACTGCCACCAAACGTGAAAGGTCTGTTTTGCTGAAATTGGCATTACAATTATGTTTTCTTATAAGATTACAGATCACTGCATAAAGGGAGAGAATATTGCAAAAAACAATCCTTTTTGGATACGCCATGCATTCGACCTCTTCCGAATCGTAGTTACAATTTGAAGGCGATTTCCTCTTTACAATACCTTGGGTGGGCCGGCTAATGGTGGAAGGGGCCTGAGTCAGTGTTTTTATTCCCAGAAGGATCCGATACCAATTAGCCGACCTCTGATGGATGGAAGGCTTGGTTGCCTGGAGGGCAATGTAGGATTTGATCCCCGGACCGTGTGCGCATAAGCAGCATGACTTGTCATTATTCCACTACCATCCTGCTCGCATCATAGCTCATTTAAAATCCATAGCAGAACGTTTAAAAAACGTTTAATTCGACTTTTAATGCATGCTTCTTTTGCCTTTTATAGCTTGGCATTTGTTCACGAGGACTAAACTACTAGAGCTCGCCGCGGTCGCGTAGCGGCTAACCTGCTGCTTCTAAAAAGAACATCGTAAAAAGCGCTTGAGAAATATCAAGAATATCGATACGATTGCAACTGGGCTCCATGTCCTCTATACACAGTTTGTATCGTTTTTTGGAGGGCAGTCTGCTTTAACGAGCTATGTGAGTTTACCGAGCCAATGAGGCGCGCGGTTGCGAAGCGGAAAGTCCAACACCTGAAGAAGCAGCCTGGAAATGACATGGCCTAGGTGTTTCTAAGTCTTATACGATTTCTCTATTTCTCGCATATGCTATGAGCTGTTCATATCTTAGTCGACAGGTGGAACCTAGCAAACCGCAAATCACGCATGATTAAGTTTCGGCGCTGCAAAATTGGTGACAAGGGTTGTGTCGTTGGAAGAGGTATGATATGGGTAACATGCCAAGGATAACAATATTCATGGACTTCCTTTCAAAAATCGATTTTCCGAAGTCCGAAAAATTCTAAATTCAGGCCTTTTTCCGAAGGAAAATATCGAGTTTGCCGAAAGCATCGACGAGAACGAAGCAAAAATTCTGAAGGAGGTCAGTGAAATCAAATGAAGCATTGATGTGCCTGCGTTGATCGATAACGATCGAATTATTGACTTGAGATGGGGTTATTTCACACCTTGCTCTACCACGAGGGGCTACACGTTCTGCTATCGAGCTCGTAGTGCACATTGTTACAAACCAGGTGCATTTTTCTCGAAGTGGTGTTCTTTTTCTTTTTAGTAGTTTTGGGCGATCGCTGAGTAATTGCAGTTATCATGCCACTGAGGCGCGCGGTTGCGTAACGGCCAACTTCACCTGATGCGACCTAAGCATGAGGTGGCCATTTCACAGCGAGTTTCATATTGAATGCCCGATCTAACCATGAGGAGGAAGGTGGGGTGGACTTATTACCAGTTCAATGAGCTCTTGGGGGGCAGGTGTGCGGATGAGCTTCCGTGCCAGGATACAGGCTGGGTAACCCAGGACCACTGTACTCTAACAATTCCGTCGGGCTAGGGTTAGCGACACTCCCAAGCGTTAATTAAGCAATCCAGCAGGAGCGGAGGCTACCACTTTTTACAGCCGCTTCATTAGGTGCTTAATTTTTGAAATTTAAAATAAATAGATAGGTTAAGTGAGCTCCAATTGGGTATCAATTAAGGTGTTCGATAAGCACTCGACGTTTGACGAGGTCGGTGAGATGATCAGTGCGGTGGAGGCAAAGTCACCAGAACTCGCTAAAAGGATGCGAGACGTACTGTCCAAGAACTGCTCACGACTGAACGGTCTCAGTCCATCGGCAATCGACTACAGTAAAAAGGTACTTCAACAATATCTCATAAAAGCAAAGGCCTGATATGGCTTCTGGGGTCAAAATCGAAGAGTCTGATTGAAAGGCTTCTTAAGACCCGTGAGAACTAAGCGATAAGCGAAACATCCTTTACGCGATGTATAGGTGGCGGCGCGCTTGAATAGGCGGAAGGGTTAAGTACAGTATGCGTTACGACTTGTCCTTTGCCGCGTCCTCTTCCTTCGCCGTGCGACGGACCTCTTGGGGGAGCACCCACCAAATCTGACACCTATCTACCTCCTCATAACAGCTTCCAAAGTCGCTTTTTGCTTTAGTGACACTTCATCAGTTCTCGATAGGATCACGCATCTTTCCTGTGCATTAGTGGCAAATATAGGGACCCATTCGGGGTTGCTGCTTCGAATGCGAAATTTCCCGGGGTGCTGAGCTCCCAGGTATTTTATATCTGTCAGTGGGCAGCTGGAGGTTTCATAAGACTTATTTTCGTGTTATTCCAATTTTTGGAATTTTGTGATCCAGAGTAGAGTTCTTTGCATAACCTTTGCTTTGCTTAACGCTCACTTGCAGACTATCACTTTCAGGCTCGAGACGGTTTTAGAGACAAACAGGTAAAAAAATGCATTTTTTGCCCCCATATTCAAGTTTGGATTCGTTCACTGGACCTGCGCGGCTACGCAAATGTCGCTTACAAAAAAGGAAACGGGGCAAACACGACGCCTAGCGTCCTCTTTAGCAATAATTTGCAAATGCAAATATCATCCAGTGCAAGTTTTTTTCCGTGGAATTTTCCCTAGTAATAAAAGTTGGTGGGCGGAAGTGGTGTAGTGGCAAGTGGCACGCTTACCACGCGAGCGGTCCGGGGATCAAATCCTGGGTCGTGAGTCGCCCGGGCCAACCAAGCCTTCCATCCCTCCGGGGTCGGTTAATTGGTACCAGACTTGTCTGGGAGGATAAAAACACTGACTTGTACATCGGCTGGCCCCCGCAAGTCATTGTATAGGCCACATCGCATTCAAACGCCACTACGAATGTACAAATGGAAGTAGAATGCGTGCCGCATCCCAAAAAGGGATTGATCAACGGCAAATGCTTTATCCTTATCCTTATGGAATGCGGTGTTAAAATCCATGCTTTGAGCTGAGCTGAGCTGATATAGGGAAGAATAGAATGCTCGTTCTTTACAAACCGGTCATTTCGAGCCCAGTTTCATGAATTTGGCCAACTGAGGATCCCAGGTCTCTTATTTCGTTTCACTGCAATGTCAGAATTGCGAAAGATCAGAGAAATTATGCTAAGGCGCTCATTTGGTGATCGATTAGGTGGGATTTAGTGCTCTAAAATGAAGGAAAGGTGTGAAAGGAACAGTCACTAGAAAAAGGAAAGAATAGTGGAAAACACTGGAATGAAGACTTCTTTTCCAGAGCGGTGGATTTGCGGCGAAGAGACACTGGGCGCCGGGAGGAGAGAGAAGACGTGAGAATATAGGGTATGGAGAGACGCAGACACCCGCCACAGTTGTAAAGTGGGAACAGCATTTTCGAGCGACAAGCGACGCGTGTGGCATCCTTTCGCGCAATTTCCAGTTGCGATAATGGCACGTCTTAGGCTTTCATACTTTGCCCCTGTACGGATTGTGCAGACAGTAAGGATGGTGAAGACATTGCGGTTGGTGCCGATAGCATTGGTGCGAAATGCTGGCGCATGTTTGGAGAGGCTGGCTGGCGTTCAGAGGGAGAAACCTGATAGCACGCCAAATAACATGCGTCAGCATACTTTGCTAGCTTTTTTGCACTTTCTACATTCCCCCAGCTTCCGCACCGTCCGCGCTTTCTGCGCTTTCCGTTTCTGCGCAAACTATGAAAGCAAGCCAAGATAGTTGTGGATAGTTCTGTCTATCTGGAATCATCGTGCAATGTGCCTTTAATCTCGAAAACCATACCAGCTGTGAACCCTCATGGGAACAAATGTATTTGAAAGTGCATTCTTTGTGGGATACGCCACGCATGCAACCAGAATAAAAGATAAATGCTGTTGATAATGCGATGCTTGTTTTCAGTGTATCACTTTCGTTACAAATGTGATGTGCAACATGACCCTTGGCAAAAAGCTTACCTTCGATGAGGCGGAGAA